ACCCCCGGCCCAGCCAGAGCTGGCTCACGGTTTCCGCCTCGATGTGGGTGAGGATGCGCCGGCTGGAAAGGAAGAGTCCCGCAGGCCAGGGAAGGCCCAGCCGCCGGCAAAGCAGTATGACGCCTTGGCCGGAGCTGGCTGTGCCTCAGTTTCCTCACCTGTATAAAGTGGGAGTAGCAAGGTGAGGGTACGTGCGTGTAAACCACACGGAAAGTGCTCAGCAAAGGACCTAGTCCCTGCTCCAGCGCTGAGCAGACTGCAAGGTGAGGGCGAGGAGGGCGGGGAGGTGAGCAGGGCGGGGAGGCGAGGAGGGTCATGGAGGTGAGGAGGGCAGGGAGGGAGGAGGGCGGCGAGGTGAAGCTGGTGGGGAGGTGAGGTTGGAGCCCTGGCCGTGGCCGGAGGGGGATTTGGAGAGCCGCACCAGGCGGGCCTGTGCAGGGAGGACAGCAGCGTGTTGGGACAGGGACAGGCCCTGCCACCCACAGCTGGTGAGGGCGGCACCCCCGCGGTGGACGTCCAGCCCTGAGGACAGCGAGGGGCGGGTGTGTCCCTGAGGGGAGGGACAGTGTGGCGGGAGCCTCGCCTGGGTGTCTGGGCAGCACCCGCAGGCCATGGCAGCCACCTGCCCTCGCACAGTGCTGGGGACATCGGGACCGTCCCACGAGTCCTGCAGACGCACCGGCTGGCTCCACGGCACTCCTGTCCCCTGTCTCTAACGAGCGGAGCTCCTTGGCTAATTGAATCCACTCTTAAAGACTAATGCAGTGTGTCTGGTCACCTCCGGATGAGACCGTGCTGGTCCCCTTAGGGCCAATCACGTTGAATTTTCTGATTGCGCTTAAATGAAGGGAACATTTGCGCCTGTGGCCGGCTCTGCACCCAGGAGGGCCTGGCCCGCCGCGGCCGTTTCGTGGCACGTCCCAGCCCTGCCTGCGTGTTTATTCGGGCGGCTTCTGCGCCGGCTGCCTGGGTGTCCTACACAGGTGACTGGGGAGTCTAATTGAGTCGGCCGTAAAAGGTAATTAATTGGCGCTTCCCTCCTGGAGAGGTCAAGCTGCCCGCTCTGATCCCTGGGGCTGGCGCGGCCTCCCTTTCTCCGGCGTCGCTCTCGAGGTCGCACGGTGACCTTTATCTTGCTGACAAAGCCATAATTGTTGTCATTACTGTCGGCACAATGGCCTCAGAGGTGACTCCTGAGAGCCGGTCGGGCACCTGCCTCCGTGGGTTGGCCCGGGCAGGTGCGGAGCATGGCCTCTGAGGCGGGAGTGTCCCCAGGAAGGTGCCAGGAGCCGCTCCAAGGTCACCTGGGGGCTGTGGCTGGGAGCCTGCCCCACCTGAGTGGCTCCTCTGGACCCGTGGAGCCCAGGATTTGATGACCTCACACCTTCGTCACACGACGCGTCTCGCTGAGCTGATGCCGTGGCCCCGGGGGCGGGTGGTTGTCACTCCCTGGGAGGGGTTTCCCTTGACGGGCCGTCACCCACCTGACTGCGTCTCGGAACCTCGTCTGTTCTCGGAGGCCAGATCTCAGTGCCTTTGGTGGCACTTGCCGCCAGACCTTCCATGGCCTCAGCGTGGCCTGTGGAGTGGGCGACAGGCAAGGCCAGCGCCTGGCTCCGCCACGCCACAGCCAGCAGGTAGGCAGCAGCGACATGCCCAGGTGCCACCGAGGGACACCCGGGAGATGAGACAGGACACTCCCTCTGCCGGGGACAGGCCGAAACGGAGAAAGCAGCGGATCAGGCAGGAGCGGGAACAAGCAAGGCGCGGAGAGAGGCGCTGGCGGGACCCGAGGAGCCGCAGGAGAGGACGAGCCCTGCCTGGGCGCAGAGGGAAGGCTCCGGCCGGGGCAGCGGGCAGAGGCCGTGGGGCCGTGGGCAAGTTGCGGAGAGACGTGGTTGGAGGGTGTGGCCCGTGAGGGCCTCTGGGTGTTTGGAACAGGAGAGGACAAGGTCCCCCCGATGTTTGGAGCCAGCTGTGTCCTGAGAGACAGACGGACTGCCGGGCAGAGCGGGCGCCGAGGGGCCGGGCGGGTCCTGCCCCAGTCATCCAAGCGCAGACGGTGGCCACGCAGCTGCCCGCAGGGAGGACTCGAGAGGTAGCTGGGTGCCCTGCACTGATGGGGCGCCCGTGAAGGGAGGGGGCCTCTCCCGGAAGGGAGGCTGAGCTGGAGGAGGGATCAATGTTGGGCACCCAGAGCCCCATGTGCCGGGCACAGCGTGGAGCTGTGCGGGAAGCTGGGGCTGGCGCCGGGCCCCAGAGGAGGCGGGAGGTGGGGGCTCCTTTGGTGAGGTGGTATTTACACCCACGGGCAGTGAGGGGACCGCCCAAAGCGGGTGTGGACAGAGCAGAGAAGAGGCCAGCCCGCGCCAGGGGCTGCGGCGTCGGAGGCCCAGGGGCCGGAGTGCAGCTGGGGGCCGTGTGGGGCGCTGAGGCCGGGGAGGGTGCGGCGGGGCAGGGGCGGCGTCGGGCGGGCTCGGGTGCAGACGTGTCCTGAAGGCAGAACTGAGGGGCCTTGCTGCTGCAGCAGCCGAGGGGTAAAGGGAGGGGCAGGGGGCTGGCGGCCGACCCCCAGCCTCTGTCTGGGGCGCGACAGGTGGGGGTGGGAATCTCGGGAAGGGCAGTGGCAGATCTGGGGTTACACCTGAGGCCGCGAGAGCAGCAAGTGGAGGTGGCAGGACCGGCAGACGCAGAGCCACCGTGGTCAGGGTGTGGTCGCCACCGTGGGGACCAGGCGCTCCACTCGTGATGGCAAAAGTATCCAGATGGTGCCACCCACGCGGCAGCCGGACCCCCCTCGGAAGGCCCGCCCCACGTGGCCGATGGCCTGGCTCGGGTCAGAGCCTGAGGGAGGGAGAAGTGACAACCCGAGAGAGACACGGCATGGGCTCGTGGGTCGGGTCGAATACGCTGGGTCTAGAAGGTTCCCTCCTAGGACTGGGGACACAATTCCTCTTTCGGTTTAAGGCTGAAACTTCAACCAAACTTGAACTTTAAGCCATTTCTTGCGGGTTTATCTCACCTGCAACAGAAAAGGTCTTGGCCAAGTCAGAGCCTCATTCTCCCGCACCCCCAGGCAGGGGACGGCACAGAGGGGACCCCGCCCGCACAGGCAGGTGGCCCCAAATGCAAACCCACCTAGGCTGACTTCCCCAAATTCCTGCTGTTCTGTGTCCTCTTCCCGAGGTCTGGGGGCAGATGATTTCCGTGACGTCTGTGCTCCCGGGAGGGCGCCGGCACCGCAGCTCTCACGCACCCTGCCTGAGCCGTGGCGTCTCACCAGCTGAGGGGCAGCGATGGCAGAGCCTCCGCCTCGGGGTGGCTGCGAGATCTCGAGAGAACCTGCCTGCGGGTGCCTGGTGCCACGCGGGTGCCTCTTCACGCGGCTCGGTCGGAGCCTCCGGGCCGAGGGAGGCAGGCCCTGGACGGGTGTCCGCACACAGAAACGCCTGCTGGGCCTTCAGATGCATTTCCTGGCGCCCACCTTGCCCCTGGAAATGGCAGGCGGGGGGTCGGGGCCTGAAGCCGCAGTGGCTGTCACATGGACCACGTGTCCTTAGTGCTCCGACCGGGCCACTTGGGAGCAGCCGCTTGCCGAGGGCCCGGGGCTCTGCTTGTCGGGAGGCAGAGCTGGCGTCTTTATCGCCCAAGAGGTGTTGACAAAGGACGTGGTCCAAGGTGGCCCCGCTGGAGTCCACGTGGAAGCTGTCAGTGCGTTGAGAAGCGGAAACGGTGGTGTCAGCAGCAGGGTTCCGGCCGTTGCCCTGGCCGTGAATAGTGCGGGGACAGCAAAAGCTAATGGGGAGAAGAAGGACATTGGCAAAGAGTGTCCTTGCAGGAGGAAAGACTTTGCTTTTTATAACGCACCATAATGATGAAATTAAGACACCTGCGAGAGAAATAATCCTCCCACTGTAATTTGGAAATACTTCTGGGGCCTGGCTCTCCCAGCGCCTCCGCTGGGCTCGGGGAAGGGACATTAATGCCTCCGGCCCCAGGGCCCAGCCAGGGCGCCAAGGAAGGACCACCATTCACGCCCCCGAGGGGCCGGCGCAGGGCCTAGCGTGACGTCCGTCTCCCGGGCTGCCTCCCGCTGCCTCCCGCTGCCTCAGATGAAGTTGACCCCACAGGGCCGTGGGCTGCTGCCCAGCCCCTCACGGGGTCTCTTCCGTTTTCCGATGGAGCTGCTGCCCTGTGGAGACCCTCGTCCGTGGCCAGCGCCCCAGCCCAGGCCTCCCCGTCAGAGCCCCAACCCAGGCAGCTCCAGCCGCTGCCTGCAGACCTCGCCGCGTGCCTCGGCCCCAGCCACTCGGAGGACAGTGGACTCCGACACGTGCGGAGCTTGGGGGTGGGGAGTCCTGCGCCGGCGAGCGTTGAGGGACCACCTCCGGCTCCGCCGACGCCTTTCCTTGTGAAAGCGGCGGAAGGTGGGCGCCGGGGCTGCAGCTCCGCCTGTGAAGGGAAGCCCTCTCCCTCCCGCCTGGGGCCCTGGGGGAGGAGGAAGGGAGACAGCAGGGTGGGCAGGGCGGCCTTGCCGTTCTCGGGTGCCCAAGGACCTCGGGGTCTCCTGGGGCTGTAGCCCCTCACGGGGCTGGAGGGGGGTGCTCGCCGCACTTGCCCAGCTCGGGGCCTGCTCCCTCCGCAGGCTGTGCTCGGAGGGCCTGTCTGGCCTCTGTCCCTGTCTCTCCCCTGGAAGTTGAGCGCCTCAGCCGCAGCGGCTGCAGGGGAGGGGGAGACCCCAGGGCATTGGCCAGCCAGGCACTGTGGGGGCGTCTAGGGACCCCAAGCACACACCCCTGTACACTTGGGCCACCTGGAGGGGCCTGGAGGGGCCAGCACAATGGGGACCCTTGGCCAGGCCCCACCAGGAGATGGGGCAGCCCCGGGCCGCACGGCCGCCACGCTGACCGCCTTGGCCATGGCAGCCGCTCAGAGCAGCCTCAGGAAAGGCTCTTCCAGCCTGAGCTTCAGCAGCGGTCGGACCCCTCCTTTCTCCTCAGCCAGGGCCCGCGCGCCCCACCGTCCTGGGGCCTGCCGGCGAGTGAAGCAAGGCTGGGCAGAGTTCGCGGACATCCTCCTGGGGCCGCCCCCGCCCGGGTACCGCCCCTTCCTGTCCCTGGACAGCCTCTCCCAGGTGAGCACCAAGGCTGGGGGCAATCAGTGCCCACCTGGGCTGCCCCCAACACCCAGGCCACGTGCATCCGGGTGCGCAGGGCAGAGCTCCTGGCCCCTTCTGAGCCTCTGCCCTCTCCCCTCCCCTGTCCCATCCTTCTAGGGGGCAGGCAGCAGGTCCAGAGGCGTCCCTGGGGGGACAACGCCCTCGGGACAGGAGCCGCCAGGAAGCAGCAGGTAGGAGAGGTCAACCCGCTCACGGGCGGTTGGGGGGTTTGCTCTCGCCCGCCACAGCAGGTCATGGGCAGGGCGGCGGGTGCCGACCCCCAGCCTGTGTATCTGTGCACCTCCTGGGTGCTCGTTCACGGCCAGGGCCGCGCTGGGGCACGCCTGCGGGTTCTCGTGGCCTGCGACGCGGAGAACCCATGGGCAAGGGCAGAAGTAGTGGAAGTGCCACCCAGCCCCCGCTTCTGTGGTCTGCAGGGGGGGAGGACCCGGCTCTGTGGGGAGCAGAGGGGCAGGGCTGGGCTGGGCCCCTACAAGGAGCCGAGCTCTTGGCCGACAGCCTCCCTTCCAGATGCACCCACTGGGGCCAGAGGTGGGCGGAGCAGGGGTGTCCTACTTCCTGCAGCCCAGTCACTGCAGGCCCCACTCCCCAGAGTCCTGAGGGAGACTGCAGGGTGGGAGGGGCTGGGGGCTCCCGGAGGAAGATGGCGGTGGCCAGGGCTACGCCGCTGGAGGGCTCACAGGCCTGTCCTGGGCCAGGCTGCGCTGTGGGCACGGCACTCGTCAGGGGCCATAACAAGCTCATTTTACAGAAAAGGAAACTGAGGCACAGGGACTTGAAGTTCAGTAACGTCTCGCCCAAATCGTTCGGGTTATTTGGCAAATCAGAGAGGGCTGCACATCTCGCTGCAGGGAGGCGTGGAGACGCCTGTCCATACCTCTGGGGACACCACCCTCCTTCCCAGCACGGGGCTGGCGTCCCATTGGCCCCACTGGGGTGGAGACGACTCGGCAGGACTGACGCCCAACCGCCCCCCAGACCCGCACCCGCTGGCCCCACAGGTCTTGCAGGGTGTGGTGGGCCCCGCGGAGCCCAGGCGCACTGCCTCGTGTCCCCTGGGGCAGCGTGAGGTTCGTGACCCCGATGGGAGCAGAGTGTGGCCGTGACACAGGCCACAGCCCCTGAGGGAAAGTCCTGCTCTTGGGAGACGCTTCTCCTGAGACAGGGCAAGCACGGGGGCATCGGGCCACGTGGGCCGGGTGGGCGGGGGCTGAGAGCAGGACCCCTCAGATGGCCAGAGGGGAGGGCGGGGCAGGAGCAGAGGAGCCCCCGCGCCAGGTCTCCAGCAAACGGGAGGCTAGGCCTGTGTGCCTGGGACAGCGACCCTCAGGCCGCCCGCTCAGAGGCCTCGTTGCAACAGCCGTGCCAGAGAGCAGGGCTGCGGCAGACACGCGGTGCGTGGGGAAGAGGGGCTGAGTGGCAGAAGGGCCTGCGCCCCCGCGGTGCCACCCGCAAAGCTCCCTGCAATTAGGTTGCTCATCTGCGACGCCGGCGGGCGTGGGGTGAGCGGGAACGCCGGGCTGGCGCGGGCTTGGTGGGCTGACAAGCCTCCGATCCACTCGCGAGGCGGCGCTGGGTACAGCATCCCCAGTGGCAGGTGCCACCCTCCGCGTCACTTGGAGTCACGGTTTGTGAATTAAACCTGAAGGTCGCTTTGCACATTCGCTCGAGGAGCGTAGACAAAGAAACGCCGAGATCCCGCAAGCAGGAGGCTCCACTCGCCCAGGCTCCAACCCGGGACGCACGAGAGCCAGACACGGTGGAGCGGCCAGCGTGCGCGACCCTGCTCAGGGCAGCATCCCTGCTGGCACCGAGGTTGACGGGGACACGTCTCATTTCAGGAAAGGAGGGCTTTTGCCGTCCTCCTGCCGAGAAAAAGGAAGGTGGGGCCCGCTCAGCCCGCGGCCCGGCCAGCGCCCGCAGAGGGGTTTCGTGGCCCTCAAAATCAAACGTCCACAGACTGGGGTTATTGTAACCCGGGGAATGTGGCAGCAGGAGGGGAGTTTGCGGCGGTGAACGGCCCCCCAAGAACATGCGCACGCAAACCCGACGTCGGCCGAGGGGACCAGGGGCCCCCGCGGGGTCCTCGCAGCCACTCCATCCCCTGCCCCTCAGGCCTCCCTGCCCCAGTTGCCTTCCCAGCTCTGTCCCCCACCTCAAGACACCCCCAGCCCTCTGGGTGTTTATGTGACCCCCCAGAGTGTGGGGGACCCTGCCCAGGGCCCCCAGCGTGTGCCCCCGCGCTCCTGTCTCGCCGCAGGCGGGAAGGGCCCCGAGATCTCCCACGGTGCCCCTCGTGCTGGGGGACCCCAGCTCCAGCGCCAGACCTGGCTCTGGGCCCAGAGCGCAGCTCCGGAACCCTAAGAAACCGTCCTTCCCGGCAAGCCGGGCTCCCGCCCGTCCAGCGCCCTCGGCCTCCAGACGTCGGCGTTGGGTCTGCACTCAGGAACCAGCAGGGCCGCGCTGTCTCCCCCAGGCTGGGTCCCACCCCAGGCAGGGCACAGGGCTCAGGGCTCGCTGACTGCGGGCAGGGCCAGGGCAGGGGCGGAAGGGCGGGTGCCGCCAGCACCCTGTGCGCGAGTGGCAGACCCAAGTCGGGGTGCAGGGGGTGCCTGCGGCCGGCTCTCGACGGGTCCTCTGGGCTCAACTGCACCGGCAGGGGCTTGGCGGTCTGTCCCTAACGCCCTGGACTCCCAGGAGAGCCTCAGGTCCGAGACCTCCCTGGCCTCCACCGCCCCCGGCCCCGTGCCCGCAGGGCGTGGATCCGCACGTGCTGCGTCTGCCCAGGGACCGCCCAGGCCTGTCTCAGGGCCCCTCCTGCCGCGGGCTCTGCTGCCTCCTCCGGCTGGGGGTGCCACGAGCACCGCAGGGCCTTTTTTCCCTGGGATGTTCTTGGCCCCCAACACACAGACGCCCCCGTTTCCTCGGGACCCCTGTGACGCAGCTCCCGGGGGCCCCTCTCCCGGCTCTGCCAGGGCCCAGAGGGCTGCAGACCTTCCCGCGGTGGGCGAGAGGCCTCAGGATCTGGGCCTGCTGGGCCTCCCGGCTGCAGGTCCGCCCGGGTCACGCCCTGGGCCACCCTCGGGCTTCTCCAGGCCGGTGGGCGCAGAGCAGCCGCCACCCCTGCGTCACTCCTCAGGACTGCGCGTCCCTTTGTGTCTAGGGCCTGAGGTCTGACTCCCAGTCCCAGGGAGAGGGACGGGGAGGGGCGCACGGCCAAACGTCGGTCAGAGGCTCGGAAGTGCCTCATCCGTGGCAATAGAGCCCAGGGGCACAGGCCACGGACTTGAGGCCACCTGAGAAACCGCCACAGCCCCACTGGCTCACATTTCCACGCTCATCTCAGGGCGATTCCCTCAGCCGCCAAGGAAGCCGGGACTGAGAAGCGAATTGCAAACCCCACACGCTTGTCTCCGGGTTGTCACGGTGAAGTCACCGCCCACGCTGCGAGCTTTGGCCCGATTGTCGCGGTCTGGGGAGGGTGGCCGCCATCCCCCCCGCGGGGACCCGGTGCAGGCTGGCAGTGCTCCTGCAGCCGCTGGTGTCCGTGAGCAGCGGGGTGACCAAGGGTGGCACCGGGAGCCCCATCCAGCCCTGGAAACAGCCACACCCCGGCCATCCCACCTGCCCGCCGGGCCACCAGTGCGTCCTGCCTGCAACCCCTCCAAGCCCACGTGGGCTGTTCAGGAGGCTCCAGACACCAGACGTGGACGAGGAGCCCTCGACGTCCACAGGACGCGGGGTGACACCGCCCTGTGACTCGGGAGCTGTGATTTGCGTAAGAAGGGAGGGTGCTCAGCAGACGCTGCCCTTTGAGACGACTTTCAGGCCTGATTCCGGAATGTCTCTTCTGACTGGGAGACGCTACCTCTGGGCTCCCTACGATGGGGCGTTTCGGTGGACGAAAGTGGCAGAGGGTCCCTCAGACGCCTGCTCCGAGGTCTTTGTGGGCACAGAGGCTGGTGCCCACCTCTGAGAGCCCGGCCGGCTCTGACCCCTGCCCTTGGAGGTTCGGACGACCATTTGCCTGCGGAGACCCCCAACCACCCAGCCCCTCCAGTGAGGTCACACGGGGCAGAGTGCAGTGGAAGGGCCACCGCTGCCCCAGCCTGCGTCATCACGGCCAGTGCCAGCCGGGGTCTGGAGGGGTCGGGAAGGGGCTTCTGTGCCGTCCTCAGAGTCTGCTCCCCAAGTTGCTCCCTCGGCCCGTCCGAGGAGGAGACGGCATGGGTGGGGGGCCCTCCCTGCGGGGGGGAGGGGCTCAGACCAGACGCGCGCCCCGCACATGCCGCCGCCTGTTCCCTGGGAGAGGACGCGTTTCCCAGACGGCCTCCTGCTGCATTCCTGCGGAGGCATTCCAGGCATGTTACGGAATTTCACAACACGACAGAGCCGCGTCCGTTCCTGAACAATGAGAAACTATGTCAGCTGCGGACGCTGGACTTGGTTTCATAAATGTGGCCGTGAACTTGTCCAGCCACATGTGAGAATTCCATGGGGGGGCGGCTCTGGCTGCATGTTCCCCAGAAATCCTAAATCCCACTGCGTGCTTGCGATAGGAAAGCGTAGCCGCCCGCAAGCCGTCAGCCCGCGCTGCAGTCGGATCAGCTGGTGCCGCGTGCGGGAAGTTTGCCGCGATGACCTTGCGCGTAATTGCTCATCGTGGCTCTCGGCAAGGACCGGCCCGCTCCTCGCAGCCCTCCCCCTCCCCGGCTCGGAGAAAAATGGGTTTAATTAAGACTTCCGTGATTAGTCATTTAATCAGTCATTAGGCCAACACAGATGGAGTCAATTTTTTTACTTGAAAAGATAGTTGATGCTCGGAGCCCACACAGCCCCCACCCGGCGTGGGGTCGCGGTGGCTGCTACGTGTCCCGGTCCCCTCGCAAGGCCGCCCGCAGCAGGGGCACTGGCACAGCTCCCGGTGGGGAGACGCCAGCGTCCTGAGTCCCCAGCCACTGGAGCCCGGACACACTGCGGCAGCCGCCCCTCCCTTGCCTGCACCAAGAGGCGGGTCGGGAACAGCCCCGAGCTGGCTGCACCTGACACGCTCTGGGCAGGAGCCGCCGGGGTCAGCGGGTCTGAAAGGGGACAGGGCTTGGTGGCCACGCCCCTTCCTCCAGCCAGGAGCCCTGGTCGTGCGCTGCGGCCAGTGGGGCAGGCCCGGCAGGCGAAGCTGCCCACCCAGCAGATGCGCCAGTCCCGGCCCGGCGGCCGGGCAGCGCAGCCCCAAGGTGGAGGCTCAGCCCCTGGCTGCGGGGTCCCAGGGCCGGGAGGGGCCTCGGCTGCCCGAGCTTGTCCTGGGCGCGGCTTCCAGAAGCTCCTCTGGGTGGGAGTTCAGAGAAAAACAAGAGAAAGGGGTTGACTGGGTTCTTTAGTTCTTTAGAAACTTTTAAAGATTGAAAAGTAAGCCCCGTCTTGTCCAAGCAGGAATAATAAACCAAAGCAGGTGTGAGCACCGGGCGGGAACAGCTGGCCTGCGAATGTGCCCAGGCCCTGGCCGCCCTAATCCCCACACAGCGGGATGTTTCCCGCTTGACACAGCCCTGGAGTAGTAACCCCGCAGATGGGAGGCTGAGGCTGGGGTAGGGGCCGCCATTAACCCTTCCCGCACCTGCTACCAGCGAGAGCCCCTCCCCAGGCAAACCCCCAAACAGACAGCACCCCGCAGGCTCTCCAGGGCCTGATGCCAACTGCCCACTGGGGACAGGGCACCCAGGTGGTCCTCGGCAGTCCCCTCTCCCCCAGGCCTGGGGCCGGGAGTCCCAGCCTTGACCTTCCAGGAGCAGGAAAAGGGTCACAGAACCACCCGCAGCTCCCCAGGCCCAGCGAGGCATGAGCAGAGGGCCCCCCCACCCGGCAGAGACGCACCTGGGGCCACCCCCGCTGCTCCATCTGAGGTCTGAGCCTGTGCCCGTCACTGCCGCTCGCCAGAGAGCACGCGGGCCCCAGCTCCCATCCTGTGGGGTCTACGGAGGAGACAGTTTCCAGCGAGGCCCCGTGTCAGCACAGCCTGCGCCACAAGTCGCTGAACATTCTGATTTGGGGACTTGCACGTGGGCTCTCCGTGGGGGCTGCAGAAAGACCCAGGGCTTCCTCCCACGGCGGCAGGCCAGGGCAGCCACGCCTGCGCCACTGCGCCCCTCGGGACGGCTCTGCCCACCGACGCCGCAACCCGCTCTGGCCCTGGCGGCTCCCAGCTCCCTGAGCCGGCGCATCCGTCACTGCTGGAGGCTGCGTGTGGCCCTCGTTGCCCAGATCTGCACGGACACCCCGGCCCCTGGCCCAGGCCCTGACCGCTCGAGGGGGCTCTCTCCTCCTGGGGCCCAGAGGCCTGAACAGGCCACACAGGGGTCCCCTCGGCCTCGCGCCCCTGGCCGGGCAGCCTCTGGTCGCAGGCCCAGCTCTCAGCTCCCCTGCCCAGGTCAGGGCCCAGGGAAGCCACACCCCAAGGGCCTGCCTGAGGGGGGTCCAGGTTCTGACTGCCAGGACCTGGGGCTGCCAGACTCTCAAATCAAACCCCGCAAGCCCACCCATCCAGACGGGAGTGGCGCGTCCTGCGTCTGCTGGGCTGTGGGGACAGGGTCCCCCGGGCTGACACCCGCTCCCTGGTGCCTCGTGCCACGCTCAGTTGCTTCGGCAGAACCAGGGCCTCGCGCAGGTCCCCAGGGCCCTCGGCTTCGCGGCCTTTGTCCTCCTGAGCCAGGCCCCACAGAAGAGCCGCAGGCGGAGAGCGAGGCTGTGCCGCGTGCCCCCAGCGTGGTGGGCAGCGCTCCAGTGAGGAGTCAGGGCCGCGGGCTCCTTGGGCTGTCCACGCTCAGACACCGCGGGTGGGGCTTTGTGGCTTCTCGGGGCACCTGCCCCAGGAAAGGTGCAGGCAGGAGGCCACCAAAGCCACAAGCCCTCAGGAAAGGGGGGACACGGCCTCCGGAGCACTAGGCCACTCCTCAGACAAACGAGTTCACGGACAGGTGGCTCTGGTCACCCCTCACAGGCCCAGCCGAGAGGGAGCGGGACGTGTCACCTTGCTGGTCTTGCAGAGCTGGTGCCCCTGGGATCCCGGTGGGTGCCCTGGCCCCGGGCCACGGCTGCTGCCAGCGCCTCCCACTCTGGGGCCCCGGACTCGGACTATCCAACCTCATCTCCCGTCTGCGCAGCTTCTAGACACCTCACCAACGGCTCTCGCTGGCCGCGGCCCCGGCCTGAGGCCCGCAGTGGAGCCCCACGGCCTGCGCGCTGTCACCCGTGCGGCTCTGTAAACAAAGCGCCGTCCACAGCTCTGCAACCGGCCGAGTGAGCGAGTGACGCTCCGTGCCCCGTAAACAGTCCCCAAGCAACACCTGGGGTCAGGCCCCATGGCGTCATCCAGCCTGAGGTCCAGGCCGCCTGTGCCTTCACCCGGCTCCCAAGACACTGACCCGATGCTGGGCCAGGCCCCGGAGGCCAGCGAGGAGCAGGACTGGTCGGTGGGGGCGGCCGCGGGGCCATGTGGAGAGCAGGACCCACTCAGGCTGGCGGCCACGTGGCTCCTGGGCCAAGACGAGGCCCGTTTCCCCTCAAAATGAAGTAATTTTAAAGTCCTTTGTCTCTGCCGCCCACAGGACGCCTGCGGTATTTAAGTCAGTTGAGGGGAGCCCTGGGCTCTGCCCCCAGCTCCCCGTTGGCTGTTGGCCAACTCAGGCCACAGACGACAGGAAATGGCCAACCACGGGGGCAGGGGTGAGGCTACAGGATGGCTCCAGGTCCACGGGGTGGGTGGTTCAGGACAAAGCCCCACCCGGCACACCCGGGGCCTCATGCGACCCGGACTGTGCATCTCACGGCCGGACAGTTCGGGGGGGTGTCCCCTCCAAGCCAGCCCCTCGTCCTTGGAGCAGGGGGCGCAGAAGAGGCACCTGCCAGGGGGTCAGCTTCACCGTGTGTGGTGGCCATGCTTCCTCACGTCCCCAGGCCACCTGCTTCCCAACCCAGATCCTTCCTGGCAATGACCCTTCCCCGGCCAGCTGCTCCTCCAGGGCCCCGCTGGGGCAAAGGCCATCACTAGCTACAGACCAGACACCTAAAGGGCGGTCGCCCCCAGGACGGCCTCAGGGCAGGAGCTGCACCTGCTCAGGAGCCAGGGCAGGGGCCTCAGGGGTAGCTGTGGCCAGAATGGGGCCTCCACCCTCAGACTCGGAGCCGCCTCTAGATTGGGAGGCCCTGGGGCAGGACCACTGCCTCCTTCCTTCTCACCTGCTCCCAGGTGACACTGGCCTTTCATCCCTCCGCGAGGCACAGAGCCCCCCACGGCTCTGCCCCTGACAGAGCCCCCCATGGTCACTTCTTGCTGGCGTCTCCTAGAAAGTTCTGTGCATCGCTGTTTGCTGAAGGCTCCAGATTCCACTGGCCCTCCGGAATCTTCCCCGCTTTCCCAAGGCCACAGCCCGTCTGCGTGACGCGGCAGCAGGCTGTGGAGCGGGGTGGTTGGCTCCGTCCCTGCACGTGGCACATCAGGACCCAGGGTTTGCTCAGCGAGGTGCGGACTGAGGGGCAGAGGTCTGGGGCACAGGCTGCTGGAGGACTCTCCGGGCTTGGGGGGCACAGCCGCGGCCAGGGGTGTGAGCGCGCTGCCCCTCAGAGGACGGCAGTCACACCTGCGCCGGCCCGTGGCCCAGGCTCCATGGGCCTCTGCTGTCCGAGGGCTGCACGTGGGCCCTGGAGCCGCTGGCCCCGGTTTGGGCTGCGGACGTGGCACCCGAGGGCCCCGGGCAGGGCGTTCAGGGGCCTCCTCTTCTTCCCACAGGCCCCGCGGGACTGCAGTGGCAGAGCTGGCGGCAGCGCTCCCGGGTAGGTAGGCAGCTGTCCTCCGCGATCCGACCCCATCGCCGTCTGCGTCGGTGTCTGGAGAGGCGACGGCTGGGTGGCTGGCGCAGTCAGCCCAGGGCTGTCGGGTGGGTGCTGGCCGGGGTAGGTGGCGGACGGCCTGGACCCGAAGGCCCTGGGGTAGGGGATGTGGGAGCAGCACGGCCCTCCCAGGGGCCTGGCGGGGAAGGGGCCACCGCTGGGGGCTGGGGGGGCAGAGAGTTCGAAATCCGGCAGAGTCACAGCACTTGATGTGGGGAATGTTCCAGAAAGGAGGCGAGTGGTGGGAAAGGCACAGCAGGAACGGAGGCCTTGGGTGGCCGAGGGGCTCATCACTATGGCCTCAAGGCTGTCCCTACAGGGCCTGGTCGGCCTTGGGAGAGCCCAGTGTGGGCAGGAGTGTGGCGGGCCAGGGCGAGTGGCTGCAGGGGCTTGGACGGAGACCCCTGGCTGGGGGCCCCCGTCCCGGAGCTCAGCCAGGAGCCTGGTGCCCTGAGCCAGACCCCGACCCCCCAGAGCCCGGGGGCAGAGTACCCGAACGTCCCAGCCAAACAGCCTTGCTCCCATGGTGGGACGTGGCACCGGGCAGCTGACAGGGGTCACGTGGAGAGCAGGTGCCTCTCCCTCCCCTTGGCCAGCACACGACCCTTGTTCTGGCATCTTGGGGTCCCGGCTGGAAGCTGCAGGCCTCGAGGCCCACGTCTCACCGTTGACCCCTCAGGCGGCCAGGAGAGCTGGCGGAGCCCCTGCAGCCGGGAGAGACAGGGCCAAGAGCTCGTCCCCAGGCCTTCGGGCCCCTGCTGGCCGCAGCCTGAAAGGTCCTTGTGTGGGGGGAAGAGCCAGAGCTCTGGGCAATGTCCCTGGCTGTCTCCCACACCATCTCCCTCAGCCGTCTGCTGCCCGCCCAGCACCCCCAGCACCCTGGCAGGAGCAGGTGGGCCGGGGGGAGGAGGGTCCCCCTGCCCTAGTTGGGAGGGGCTGGCACCTCCCATCCCGGCTTTGACTGGCATCAGCCAGATCCTGGCACCTCTCCGGGCACAACCCTGGCCGAAGGGGGGGGCATCACTGGCCGGGGGATTATTTGCAAGGCTGTGGCCACCCTTAGGGGTGGTGAGGGGCGAGCAGGGATCCGACTGGGGGGCCCCAGAGGGCTAAGCTGGAGAATGGCCAAGTGTCTGGGGCAAGAGCTGGCCCGAGGGGACACCGGGCCCGCGGCCCATGGCTGGCCCACGTGGCTGTCGGGGCCGGCCTGCCACAGGGCTGCCACTAGCGAGAGCCCCTGCCACCGGCCCCTATGTGACGGGAGATGGGCCTGCGGAGTGGGGTCAGCTCAGGCCTGTGGCCTGGGCCCCAGCCGCTGCCCGCTGAGCTCACACGGCTCCCCAAGCCAGCCGCCTTGGCCGCCAGTTGGTTTAGCTGTGTTCTTGGGAACACCTAGAAACCGGCTGCTTGGAAACACTGCGGCGTTGCCATGCACGGCTGTTCCTCCAGGCCCGCCAGCCAGCCGGCCCTGGTGCCCGGGGCTGCGCCCGCACCGCCAGACCTCGGAACGCGTGGCCCCTCGCAGGGCCTCCGGACACCCGCCCCTGCCCCCCGCGTGGTTTGTTCTGGAGGAACTGACTCTGGGCCAAGCAAACTCCTCCCGGCCGAGGCCGCGCTGCTCTTGTCGGGCCCAGGAAGGCCCCGGCGTCCAGCCCTGGCCCAGCCCGGCCAGGGAGCAGCCGTTTCCCGCCGGGTGGCGCGAGCCCCTCCTGCCCCGCTCCAGCAGCGGCCGCATTCCTGCGTGAGCCCGGGCCGGCCCGGGATGCTTTTTCCATGCTCCGGTGCCAGCCCCTGCAGGCTCGGGGGAGGGGGAGAAGACAGTTTCTATGGCAACCTCACTTTTTGTTATTTCTTATTTTCTTTTTTATGGTTTCTCCAACTTTGAAGCTCTCCAGACGGTTTACAGACTGTGAAAGGAAAAGCACTTTTCCTTCTTTCCCGAGAGGCCGCAGGGCCGCCCCGGGCTCCACCCAGAGAGCCCTGCCCGGCCCCTTCCCCACTGCCGGCCGGGCGGGGGCTTCGACAGCAAACCCGGGGCACCAGGCCCTCAGAGGTTTAGTTATTTTAAAAAAAAATTTAAAGGAAATGAATTATTTTTTTTCCTAAAAAGGTAGGAAAGTATTTGCAAAAGAACCCTCTACCCAGCCACGCAGCTCAGGGACCAGGAGCAGCCACGTGTCCATCCTCTCCTGACACCACGGCCCGGCTCTGCCTCCACGACACCCGAGTCTGTGGCTGGGCCCATGGCCTGAGGTCAGAGGTGGTTCCCTTCACCTAAAACCCATTACTCACCTAGAATGACCGTGCACCCCGTGCCTCAGGAGGGCAGCAGCCTGGTCCCATAGTCACCGTGCCGGGGCGGGGGACAGAGCTGAGGCCGTGGCCTCTGGGAGGCTGAGGACCGGCCCCGTGTGTCTCTTGCAGGCGAGTATGTGGTCCTGGTCCACGACGTGACCGCTCCTCCGTTCCTGGGCCGCACGCTGCCCACCGCCTGCAAACACCTGCGGGTATTGGCGCAGGGGGTCGGCCAGCGGCCCCACGTCCCCGAGGAAGGCCCCAAAGCCGCCCACGGACACAGCCCAGTGTCGGCAGTGCCTCCGTGACGTCGCGTCTGCTCGGGAGGCCACCTTCACTTTCAACGGAAGGGACACTGCCTCTGCTTCCAGGGCCCGCCCGTGTCCCCAGCAGCCAGAGCCGCGCTGGGGTGAGGGGACCTTGGGCGCCCCACAGAGCCCCACGGCCACTGCCTGGAATAAACCCTCGGCGACAACCACAGAGCGCACTCTCGGTGGGGCCTTGACGTGACAGGGAGGCCACACGCCGGGGAGGCGGGCAGGGCCCCCACTCTGCGCCGAGCCCTGGGAAGACTGGGGTCCAGCGGGATGCTCGTAGGGGCTCGTCTCAGCGCCTCCAGGCCGGGCCCACGGGAGTCGCCCCGACACCTCGGGCCGCAGGCTGCTCCCCCGCACTGTCCCAGGCCCAGCCCAGGTCTGGGCCGGAATCTGCCAGGGGGCTGGGAGGGGTCTCCGGCCCCCGCCTCAGAGCCCTGCAGCGGAGCCCGGCGCCGCGAGTCGCCATGAAGCCCGGCTGTGGGACGCACACACGTGGGAAGCGCGAGGCAGTGAGAACGCGGTCAGCTTCCCGCCGTGTTGCCTGCCTGCCTGGCGCCCCACCCTGCGCTGGCAGAGGAGCTCAGCAGGGACCTTGCAGCTGCCTCGGGGGCACCCCCACCACTGACGAGGCTGGACGACGCGTGGGGGACGCTGGGGAGGCCCGTGGCAGCGGCCACTCAGCCGGCGCAAAAGGCGGCTGTCCCCAAAACCCCGCCTTCGGCTTCACAGTGCCTTCCTGGCACGTGCACAGACCTGGCTGGGTCTCACCCTCCACCTGCCCCGGGCTGGACAGGCCGGCCTTGCCAGGGCCCATCGGCGCCCGGACTCCCGCCCTCATGCCTGACTCACAGCCCACCCTCCTGACTGGCCACCGCTTACCCCTTCCCAGACGCAAGCAGCCCCTCGGGGGGGTGTCCAGGCCCAACCCCAGCCGTCTGCTTCTGCCCCAGGGCCCACATGCCAGTTCTGGGCCAGGCGGGCCACCCGTGTCCCCAGAAATAGCTGCATCACTCACGAGGGGCACGCTGCTGCCCCCTCGCGCCAAGCCCCCCAGCACCCGGCCTCGCCCCCCGGGCTCCATCCACATTCCCTTCCCTGGGAGCTCCCCCGTCTCCTGGGCCATCTGCCACCCACCTCTGCAGACCCGCCCCAGCAGGTGCTGGGCACTAGGCGGCAAAGGCCAGCAGCCCCCTTGGGCGTCGCAGGCATTTGGGACTTCACACGCCCCACTGCGCCCCCGGTGGTCTCCCCAGAAGCGGCTCCTCCTGCTCCCCCGCGGGAGGGTGCGGGCAGGGAAGCAGCTCCAGGCCTCATGCTCAGGTAGCCTCGGCCCAGCCTGGGGCAAAAAGACCGGCCCAGGAGTTGGGTGGGACGGTCCCAGGGACCTGGGGCAGAGGGGCAGGTGGGGCAGGTGGGGCAGGGGTGCCGCAGGAAGGAGCCAGGCCAGCTCGTGGGGTGGTGAACTCCCCATCCCTGCAGGTGTCCCGGCACAAGCTAGAGGCCCACTGGAGGTGGGGGGCCCTCCTCTGGCAGGAGCCGAGCCTCCCCAAGACCCTTCTGGCTCTGAGCTCTGCTGGCCCGAGGCTGAGCGCCCAGGGTGCCCCCAGCCTGCCGCCAGCGCGACCATCTGAAGTGGCCCCTGCGTGCCGGCGAGTCCTGGGCACCCAGGCTCCACTCGGGGAGCAAGGACACAGCCCCCGTACCCCACCTCCCTGGAGCCAGCAGCAAGGCTGCACCCCTCAGGCCCTTCGAGGCTCCTGGTGACCGGGCCTGGGGCTGATGGTCACCCACAGCCACAGGCCTGGTCCTCTGACCCCTGTGGCCCCATGGTGCCCTGGGATTGGCCGCCAGCACCCTCAGCCCCGGTCGGAGGGAGGCTCCAGGCTCACCCCTGCCTCCCCGCCCAGCTGGGCCACCTGCAGCCCCCGGCCAGGCTGGGCCCGTGTGCAGAGCAGGTGCAGGAGCCCTAGCGACTGGCCAGGTGATAGTGGGTCACACACTCCTGACCCCCCAAAACTGCATCTGAGCTCAAGTTCCTTTGTGTCTGCTCCTCAGATAAGGCCAATCACTTTGTAGCACTTTTTCTCATTTCAAGAAGAAACCATGTTTCTGTCAAAAGAAAAACAAAGAATGTTTCGATTTCGGAAGGAGAAACCGCTGGGAGACAGGTGGCCAAGTCTCCGGCCCCGGGGCTTAACGCCCATTTGCAATCGTCGGCTTCTAACTCGGAAAACCGCCAGGACACGGGGGTGGGGTCCGCGCCACACGGGCTCCTTCGCGGACGACTGGCAGCTCTCGCCACCACTCAAGGCAAGAGACCGCGGCCGGGGCCTTCCGTGGTTCTCACGGCAAACGTCCTGGTACGCTCGAGCCAGGAGGGACTCGGCCCCTCGGCTTCCCAGTGGGCAGTTGAGGGCCCGGGAAGGTGACACGAGGCTGGCCGGACCCAGCAGGGCTGTCTTCTGCCCCAGCCCTCCCGCCCCTGCCAGGGTGGGGACTCTTCTGGCCGCGTGCATCGGAGCAGGGGACGGTCAGCCTTCTGGGGCTGCAGGACTGGTGAGAACCTCCGAGGGGACAGGGCCAGGAGGAAGCCACTCTCACCCCAACCCTCACTCCTCCCCCTGCGTCCTGCAGGCAAAACGTGCACAAGTGTGAATTCCACAGGGTCTGTGCAGCCTGCCCTGTGACGCCAGACCCCTGCCCTCGGTGGGAGGGAGGGCCTGGGAGCGTCCGGCTGGACCACCACCAGGAGCTGCAAAGTGGCTGCAGGCCAGGGGCCCCCGGGGACAGCGCCCCCCACGCCCCAGCTAGCCTCAGGGCTCAGCCCCCGGGCACCGTCTGAGAGCCCTGTGACACAGCAGAGGGCCAGCCCCCGCCCCGGTCCTGCCAGCCCCACTCTGCAGAGCCTGGAGACTGTCCCTGGGCCCTCACTGTCTAGCCCCACCACACAAGTCCCCAGCCAGCTCACGGCCCCATGCAGGGTCCGCCCAGCCCCTGCGAAGGCCCCTCCCCCACTGTCCCCAGAGGGTCCTCCCGTGGGCTGGCCTCACCTCCCTGTCCTGTGACGCTAGGCGCTGATTCCGGCCCACTGGACCACGCCTGGCATGTGGGATCCTGCAGGATCGCTGCTGTCCCCCAGGGCCCTCGGCAGTGAGCAGGGGCCACCCCTTCCCAGTTCCCCCAGCAGGCACCCCACCGTGTGTTGAGTGGGAGGGGGCTCTTGGTGGTGGCCTGGCTGTGTGGCCATCTGGGGTCAGGGTGGAGGCAGCATCTATTTCTGGCCTAGAGATCAGGTCTCTGGGAGCCTCCCCTGGGAACCACTGGCGGGTGCCCAGGTAGGGGCCTGGGACCCCAACGTCCCCACCCTCTGGCCCGCTCACAGCCCTGCGATGGGCTGGATCTCTGGCCGCCCTTCCCCACCTTCCCCCAGGAGGAGTCGGGCAGGGGGCTCCCGGTTCCGCCCTTGGGCCCCTCCTGTCCTCTGACCTCCCAGGGTCGGGAACCCTGGCCCGTTCACTGGCGGGGTATTTCCTGAGCAAGGCAACAGGGACAGCATCGAGCAAAGCACTGCCATGGGAGGGGGTCCGTGTGCGGGTGAGAGACAGACAGGGAGGGAGGCAATGGGAGACAGGGGCGGGAAGGCTGGGGGTCCCCTGCCGGCACCCTTCTAGCAGGGCCCCAGCCAGGGTGCCCTCCAGACCCCCAGAGGCTGCATGGGGTGAACAGCATAGCCAGGCCACAGGCTGCAGCTGGACAGGGCCCAGCTGGCACAGGTGGCTCCTCCCAGCCCGTCCTGAGGCCACTGCCGGTGGCGGGTGGTCACCCAGGACCCCAGAGCCCTCTTCACAGCCTGGGCAGACTGACCACTCTGGGTGCCGGGCGGGTGTCCAGGCCAGCTGTGTGGGGCTTCTTGGGGGGTGCTGGATGCGCAGCCCGCCAGGCTCACCTGCCGGCTCACTGCCTGCCCTGGGAGGCCTCAGTCCTGAGGTCACGCTAGTGGAGTCACCAGGCCAGTCTCAGCAAGCCCCCGGCCAAGCACACAGTTCTCAGCGCTGGCAACAGCCCTGCTCCAACACCAGCCCTACCTGCTCCTGTCTCCTCAGAGCCGGGGGCAGCGCCCAGGGCCGGGCCTGGGGACCCCCTGGTGGAAGGGAGCCAGGCAGGGCAGGCAAGGGGAGTTCGGAGACCAGGAAGGGGCTCAGAGTGGAGGGACCTGCCCAGGCTCGGGGCTGCCAGGGGACATGCTGGGGTCTTGGCGAGAGGCTCTCGGTCTCTGTAGAGCGGGCTGCGCCCTGTTGCTGTGGCCAGGGCCTTGATTCCTGGTGGGGATGGTCAGTGGCTGGCTGGGCAGCCCTGATGGGGCCTGGCCTCCACTTGGCCCCAGGACAGTGTCACTCTTGGAAACTCTGGACACCCCTCCTCCTGGTACCTCACCAGAGTTGGTGGCCAGGACCGGGTGCCCCGAGGAACGAGGCTCCCAAGCCCCAGCAGCTCTGGCAAGGACGTCCGGGTAAGACAAGAAACCACAGGTGCTGCGGGCGCAGCCCAGAGCGCGGGAGGGACGTGCCGGAGGACCACGGCGCGGGCACGAACTTGGGGAGCATGTAGACGCCGCCCGGGGGCTGCGCTGAGAAGGGCTGGGCGCGCAGGCAGCTGGGGCCTTTCCTCCCGGGAGGCCGCGTGGTCCCAGAGGAGCGCGGGGGAGGGAAGCGCAGTGGACTGGCGGTGCGGTCCGGGCCACCACCCTGATGGCGGGCGGGGACGGGGGGCCGGGCCTGGAGA